AAAAAAATAATAATGGCATAAACGCATGTTAGATATTATTGTCATTATTGTCTTTGAAGTGGAATTTTCTAATCTTATCATAAAAACTGGTTAAAAATCAATATCAGTGTTAACTATTCTGGAAAGACTTCATTTCCACATTTCTTGCAATTCTGCATTAAAATCACCTTTTAGTTTCTGAAGTGGGAAATGTTATTTTTTTCTATTATAGATTTGACAAATTTACCTTGTCAGTTTTAACACATTTAGAAGATAATATCTTTTAAAGATTTTAAATTATTTTATTATTATTTGAATACATGATTATAAAACTTTTGCAACTTCCTTTTCACTTCAATGCAAACCTTTTTTTTGTTTTTTGTTTTTTTTTTTTAAATAAAATACCATACATGAGCAGAAAACAGTTACAGAAGATTGAAATGTCAAAAGTCATGCTGTGTATTGGTGTTTTAATATAGTACCCTGCTGATAAGAGAGTCCCTCAGGGTAAATAACAAAAGGCAGATGATGAATATAAGTAGGCAATGTAAATGATGGTGCAAATAAATTTCTATACAAGTAGTACAAAAAAGAAAAAAGAAAACTGAAAAATTTTTGCATTTTATAATGAACTCATAAAAATAATAATATTGCATAATTATGCTACAATGCATGAAAAAAAGAAAAGAAAAGATTGGTGTCGTCTCAAAAAATGGAATTAAAAGATTTTCTAATATTTTTGTTAATATCCATATCAGTTAAAGTATACTAGTGTCCCACAAGTACATATCAATACTTAATTCACACAGATCAATACTTAATATATCACTATTATATATAACTATTTATTTTTAGAATAATATATGTATCTTTTACATTAATCTAAGGTAAATCTCAGTTTCAGAAGGTAAAAAAGATTATAAATGAGATAAAATTGACAAAATTTTGGCCAATTATAAACATATTAAATCTTTAATGTATTAAAGGCTATTAATGCTTAAAATCATTACCTTTAACTAAAACAACCATAAGTTAAAATAAAAAATAACTAATTGGTATAATTTGCCCCCCCCCCCCCAAAAAAAAAAAAAATAAAGAAACCAAAAAAAAACTTTACTGAATTTTCTTTAATTAGCATTTCAATGTTTCATATTTCATTACCAGATTATAATAAAATAGAATCATATTAATATCCATTAATGTTGTTTATTTATGCACTTATCAACATTAAAGTTATAATTATTTATATTTACTTTTTCTAACAATTAAGTTTTAAAGTACACAATCAGTAAAATTAATGACTTAAAAAAATTATTGTTCTAATATTCTACGCCATATTTTACAAAATCCAATATTCTCAACTTCAAATTTATCATAAAAAAACTATTATACAGATATCTATATTTATCTATCTTTTTGTAAAAGTCAAATTGCTATTCATTGAAATAAAAGGTAACTGCTTAATACATATAATAGGTCTGGTGCACTACAAAGTGCACTAATGAAGTGCACTACTAGTGCACTCCTAGTGCACTTTGTGTAACCTTTAGTGTGAACTCAACTGTAATTATACATCAGTGAACATTTTTTGAATGTCAAACATATGTTCAATATTATAGGAAAGCAGCATTTATTTTCCTTTCGATGTCAAATATACATTATGAAAGATTACACCTCCTGTTTTTGTTTACATTAAATCACATGTTCAACTATTTTCAGTAGGTTATTATAAATAATAGCGGAGATGTTCCGGTTGGCTTTTATCTTTGCTTGTACATTGTATCTATTCATTTGTGGACTTCCAACAAAAATGAACTACACTAGATTCGTATTGTAGAATGTTACATTCTAACTGAAAGAAAGTATATTCGATATATTTCGTGTATGTTAGTAAATATTACGGAAACACACACTTATAGTGCGTTTATAAGATATTTAATCGTGACTTTATTACAAAAAGTTAAAATAGTTGTAGGTCAGACACCATTGTTTGTTTTATTTCAAAAGTAATAAATAGGATTTGCAATATTAGATCTCGACTGTCCTACCTTCGGCGACTCCTAGCATTTTTAGAAATGGTAATACATTTAGTACAATTAATGTTTGAAACAGTAATATTATCGGACGTTAAAATGTAATAGATAAACAAGACGTTTATGGCGGGATTCGCGGGAAAAAACAATGACGGAGACACTTAAGACCGCCCGTTTCTCCAATATAATATCATCTCTCCATCAATATCATATAGAAACAAAAATGTAATAATTCCAGCGTGGATTACAGAACAGAACTTCATGGACAGCCCTCATATTAACGGTTACTCATATTGTAACTGCCAGAAGACATTAAGTTTTTGTATCCTCAGAGACTACGATGAACATCATGGTTTTCTCTCTGAAAAAAAAACGGAATATTTTTCGTTCTAGGGTTGAGCATTAAATTTTTTGCAGTGTATGGTTTTGAAATATCTACGAGATACTTTCACTGCGAAAAAGACATGGATATACAGAAGTGTACGGAATTCCGTATATCATTAATGTACGTGTAAGAATACGGGAAACTTGAAATACGGAGATGTACGGGACCGTATATTATATCAGTCCGTATATGACTAGTATACGAACTCCGTACACTCGTAATATACGGGAACTTTGATTACCGAAGTCCGTATTTTACTAATATACGGAATTTTTATAACAAGTCCGTATATTACTAAAATACGAAATTCCGTATTCGTGCAAATACGGATTCTGTATATAAAAAAAGCAAATGAAAATTTACTTCTGAATAGCCTATTTCCTGTACGAGTAAAGAAATAGTCTGATCATATATTTGTCAGACATTTGATAATTAACACAATGCAAAATTTCCTGGAGTTATTAACGCGTCAATTGCGTACAAATAATATCGTCAGTGCACAGAACGTGTAAGACATCCACCTGTAACATGCAGACGCGGTATTCTAGCTCAATACCGCTTGGTTTGCTTTTTAGCATACACCCGCAGATAAATAGCGAATACTTTACAATTGCGATTGACGATTAGATAGTACTTTTTTTGCATTTTGCATCTATGGTGAATCATGTTATTTTGTAATTTCCTTTTCAGTAAACATGAGAAAATGATAAAGTTGAAATTGTGATGTTCAAAACATGAATTAGTTATAATAAAATCGTGAATCTGTGAAGTTGAAATCGTGAAAGTTACAATAATTGTGAAATCACGAAGATGAAATCGGGATTGTCCACACAGCATTTAAATTTTACGTTTATATATGTCCTATTAAAAATAGGCTATACATAATATAATACATGTACTTGCATATGTAAAAAGAACAACAATGATATCTCATTCATTCATTCATTCATTCATTCATTCATTCATTCATTCATTCATTCATTCATTCATTCATTCATTCATTCATTCATTCATTCATTCATTCATTCATTCATTCATTCATTGAGTCAATCAACCAATCATTCATTCATTTATTCATACGTTCATTCATTCGTTACTCCTTTATTCATATATTTCTTATTCATTTATTTATTTATTTATTCAGGAAACAAAGATTTGCGTTTCTGTACACAAGTTTTGAATAGAAATCTTATGAAGTTCCGAATTCCCCAATTTTGATTCTTTTCGCGCGGTCTCATTTATGACATAATATTGTGTATTAGCCACGTGCTGTATTGCCATAATCGAAGACAATACTGATTAAGCCGGATATTGATCCGGATACTGATCATAAACGCAGCAGGATATATCGAGTGTCGGTTTTCTCCGATTACGTAAGTTAGCGCAATTGGTGTTGAATGTCTTAACGGTATTTTTTACTGTTAATTTTTACTGTCAATTTCTAAATAAATATAATTCATGTACGAAATAAGGGAATTAAATTGTGATCTCATAACCGAGTCTCTATGTGATTTTGTTCCAGATATTATAAAGACTCTAACCCGGCATATAAAAATGAAACAGACACAGCTGATGTATTCTTTCCAATGTTTTTCGTGTTGTTGTTACCCTTTTATTTGGCGGAAGTCGTCATTTAAACAAGACACAATTAAGATTTATCTTAAAGTAAACTTTGAAGTACACAGCCGCCAGGTCCATTGATATCTAAGTTAACAAGCTAGAATCAGATTTTGTAAAAGTGAATTTCTGTTTAAAGAAAAAAATTATCGTAGTTTGATTTAAAAACTCAAGTTAAGAACATACTAAATTATATATTGATAGTAAAATCACTTTTTAGATTGGACTTTCGAATTTGGGGCTTTTGTTTGATGGACTGGGGGCGGTCTTTTGTCCTACCTGTTTTTTTGATGGGGGGGGGGTTGTCCTATCTGTAAATTTAATGGGGGGGGGGCTTTTGTTTTACCTGCTTCTTGTTGTTATAACAAAAATTTGTGTAATTTATAAATATTTCTTAGCGCTTCTAAAACGTCTTTTTTTATTGTCATAAATATTATTATTATTATTATTATTATTATTGTTATTGTTATTGTTATTGTTATTGTTATTGTTATTGTTATTGTTATTGTTATTGTTATTGTTATTATTATTATTATTATTATCATCATCATCATTATCATCATTATGATATTATTTATTACTAATATTATTATTATTACTATTATTATTATTATTAAATTATTATTATTATTAATATTATTATTATTATTATTATCAAAAAATTAAATAACCGATTGAGCATTAGAATCAAAGTTTTGCCTATGAAAAAGTATCAATGGTTATGTTATACATGTATGCAAAGTTATCGTTTATGGATACATGATATTTCCAATTGAGTATTGCATTATTTTGGATCGAATAAAGGTCTTAGTATGCTGGTTTCTTCCGCATTATCACTGACCTAAATATAAATTCGTTGCATTATCAATGCTAAATGCTTTATTACACAAACGGTATCTAGGCATATCACGCGTTTTCAAAACAGCCAATGAGTTTAAAGCGTTGGTTTTGTATCACGTGAATCATATCAACCAATCAGAAATTGCGCGGGCGAAATGAAAAAAGAAAAAACGGGATTGGAAATGGAGGTTAATAAAATTCAGAATATTGCAAAACAAGGTAGGTTAAAAGTTATTTTTTATCGTTGCAATATCAATATGCGATCAATAGAATAGTTGCATTTTGTGAACAACAGCTTATTTCAGGGTTAAACTGATTTGTTTTTAGAAAACTTTAACACTGTTTAATCTGTTTCGCTATCCAATATGGCCGCCGGATTAGATAATTAAAGCAGGGATATATCCCTAAATTTAGACTGGGAGGATACGAGTTTGATTTTGATTTCTAAACTGTATCTTGTTTAATTAATAATTTGTATGAAAAATGCAAAAACAAAAAAATGAAAAGGGCATTTGATAAATGCGTTAATCATAACTTCCCTTCAGGGTAAAAAAGACACCGAGTTAAAAATTACGACATTTAAACATCGAAGATGTCAAGGTATTACAGCCCCTGGACATGGTAGTACAAAGGGATTAATCAGTGTGTGTGACACGACCTATGTATGCTTGATTGGTCAACTAATTGGACTTTATAATCTTGAGCGATCTCTATTATCACTTAAAATCAGGGGTGCGAATCAATGTGCAATCAAGCTGAAAAGAGACACTCAAATTCTATTTATTTTAATAGTAATTTATGAAATTGATAGCCGAAAAATAGGTTATTTTTTATCTATTCAATATAATAAAAAAAATTATCAGATTAACATATTATAAAAGAAAATTGCTTAGTACTTCTAAAAAATAGGTTTATAAATTTTTAGATAAAATTGTTTCTCAGTCTTGATAATTTAACGAGCAGAATACTTGTTTTATATTCGCAGTTTTTATTTTTATACAAATCCCCATTATTTGATGCAAACATAAGTCAATTTAAAGACTCCGCTCTTTTCAATTTTATTCACTTTTTTAAGTTTCTGTACACATGTTGTTATATATTTCTTATTTATATTAACCTATTCTTAAATGAATACAAATCTTAAACAAACATAGCAAACAAATATTTCTTTGTTATTTAAATCATTATACATTTAAATGAATAAATAAAATGAAAATATACTTAAGGACAATGAAAACGCACGCCCGCACTATATGCATTTTATTACATGAAAACAAAACATTTACGACTCCATTAGATATATATCATAACTTTAATACAAAACGCAAACTTAACAACTGAAAATAATTCAAAATGTTTAAAATCAAATGTACAACAGTAAATCGAAGAACCTTAGGTGAAAATCCCAAAATCACACTTTTTCATCACAGTAATGCAAACTTAACCAAGGCAAAAACCAAAATAAAAATCCAAAACAAAGTCACTCATAATAAATGTCTATTCGTAATGTCACCGTCGGGATCTTTAGAAACGACAATATCCTCCATCAGCGTCTCTTACAGTTGACATCGTCGCCTCATAGACCTTATAGTGCGGATAGTCGCCTGTGGAATCTAACGCCATTCAGCCTGTAGTGTACTTGCGAAAACGCTGGTAAAGCCCGATGGACACCAAAACGGTTGGCGCTTTGATAATACCAAATTTAATTGTAAGATAGACCAGACTGAATCCGTCCTAAATCTACCAAGCGTTTAATTCTTTGTAGAATCATTACATACAATTTGCTAGCAAGTCTTCAGTAGTGCTTGAAATTAAGCACCTTTTATAGAGGAAAAGTGTGTATATGCAATTTCAATGCGAGCTTTTACGATTTCTTAAACTGACCATTTGCTAGTTTAATATTCATTTTCATAAAAGATTTAATTGCCCATTTGTGTCTAACATTTCTAGAAAGGTGTACAAAAACAAGTAAATAATTAACAGTTTAAAAAAAAAAAAATTTCATTTCATAAAGTAACAATGAATTGATTAAATCTGTTTTCTGTTGTGAACTTATCACAATTAGCGAAAAGTGTTACTTTTGATTTTTCGCGTACTGTCTTTATCATGCAATAACTTCCTTAAAATGCAATCATTTTTCATAACTTTGGTATCTAAATGACCGGAATGCATACGGTTTTATGAAACTGTGAAAAAATACTTAAGAGAAATATATTTTCCTTGTTAAAATGCAATTATTCCGACCGTGCGTTTTCATTGTCCTTAAGTATATTTGTCAGAATTTTTCATTTACATTAATTCAAAGAATGACAGATACATATCTGTATGATTGCATGTTATATGGCCGACAGGTGTTAAAGTTAACAGTTAACTGTTAATTCACTTACCCTTGGTGTCAAAAGATATGAGCTGTGTCACGACAAAATCAACATAATGGGTTTGCGACCAGCATGGATCCAGACCAGCCTGCGCATCCGCGCAGTCTGATCAGAATCCATGCTGTTCACATTGATACGAAGCTTAGATCAGGAACCTGTTGTCGGTGTAAGAATTTTAAAACTCGTGAATATAACATATCGCAACGAACCAGAAGTTTTAAAACGGTTTTGTTTGTATTGTTTTAGCATTAATAGTAATTAGCAAGATCGAGTTTACTCGCAATTCAGGACAGACAACTCTTGGTTTTCATTTGATATTTTTGGTTATTTATCTACGTTATTCAGGTTTTAAATTGTATATACATGAACTGAGTTTTCAACATTTACATTGGATTTTTATTGGACAAATTAAAATTTAATTATTTTTTTCTTATTATAATTAAAACTCTTTGTTTAGTTTTTAAGATAAACACTACGCATAAGGTGATATCGCATGGGTTAGTCACAAACACGCGCCTGTTTGAGGAAATAGTTATTTAATATTTCGTTATAAATAAATTTAAACGCTTGAAAAACTGTATTGAGCCTTTGTACATCACACATTTTTCGACATTCCATATTTTGACTTACATTTCACATAAAGCAATATGGTAACACACGCATGCACGCACGAACACACAAACATACATAACTACACATGCACATAAAAGTGAACACGTTCCTACAGTATTAACACATGTGATCACTTATGAAATATTTTCAATGTGCTCTTAATCATTTTATGCTGAAGTTATATTATGATTTTTTCAGGACAGTGTACAGCGTGTTTAAATCTTCTAGAAATGCAGCTGTGCCCTCTTTACAGCAATTATAGATGAAGCAAAGTATGGTAGCAAGTTATATAGATGTAAGTTCACGTATATATATTGTTGTGTTTTGTGAATAAAATAAGACAATTATACGGCCGTACTGTCTGTAAAGAAGAGTTACCCAGACTCATATATTCCCATCTGTATTGACATCGTGTGTTTTATTCTTTCTCAAGGCAAAGTCAACCTTAATCATTCATTTTGAATTGAATAAATGTGGTTAGTTATAAATACATTGGTTTTCTTTTATATCTTGTTAGAATCAATTCTTAGGCGGAATGATGTCACACTTCATAAAATGACGTCAATTAAGGCATAATATTATATGATAGAAGCATTTTGCCGCGCATTTGAAAATGCTAAAATATACTTGCTTTTAATATGCAAAAATCAAATATATAAAATATAAGAATTAACTCGAACACACACAATGGTTTGATATAGATGCACTGTGCATGCGACTTTATTTTATTAAATTAGTTTTCTTTTCTTAAACATGTTACTGTATCAAAAAATATGAGCCCTGTCATGACAAAACCAACATAATTGGTTTGCGACCAGCATGGATCCAGACCAGCCTGCGAATCCGCGCAGTCTGATCAGGATCCATGCTGTTCGCTTACCAAGTCTATTACAAGTAGAGAAACGGCTAGCGCACAGCATGGATCCTGATCAGACTGCGCGGATGCGCAGGCTGGTCTGGATCCATGCTGGTCGCAAACCCATTATGTTGGTTTTGTTGTGACACGGCTCATATTATGTATTTCTTTACAGTTTAATCACTTTTATATATGTTAATGATAGTTTTTTTAGTTACTACGTGCGTAAGCGATAAGTACGCCACTTTGATAATGTGAGAGTGACGTTACATTTTCTTTTGTACATGTACACTAAAGTTAACAACATTAGTCTGAATTCAAAGCGAATATAATGTAAGATAAGAAACAGAATTTGAAATGTCTTGATGGCAAAGTTAGTAAAGTCATTAGAACTTCATACACATTAAATTTTATCACAAGTTCGAGCCTCACAAGTTGTCTTACTTTTTTGCGTTTGTCTTTCCATATATTTTTTTAAATTTTACATTAGAAAAATGAATTGGGATATAAAGGCAGGTTTATTATGATATTTAATAATTTAGATATACATGCACGGATGATAGTGATTTTTATCCTGTATAGTATGTAGTATAGTCATAGTACTTTTGCAGTGCAATAGTATTTCGTGCAAACTTAACTATAGTTGAAACAGTCTGTGTACAGTATCATGCATTCCGTATAAGTTTGCACCAATTTGCTAAATAGGGCTAAATATACCTACATTTAAAACAAAATGAGAAGTTAATAGAAAATATCACAGCATTTATAATCTTACAATAAATGATACAAAACTTTCTTGCCTGATTGATAATTATAAAGCGATATTTTTGGGAAAAAGGTGCAATCCGAGCCTAGCCGTCTTGAATTGATATTTACCACAACCTTACCTACTGCATTACGCTGAGAGTGAGAGTTGGCAAATTTGTTGATAATTTAATTTATATAGCTAGCCTGTTTGAAGATAATAAACACAATATGATAGCTGTTTTACACCTGGATAGTGGACTTGACCACCTCGTCACTTAATTATTATACTAAACGCACAGTACTTGTGTACACGTAAAACATATTGCGTTGATACGTAAATGTTTCACGTGCGCACGTAATAGTCGAATTCGCATGTATTAACTAAAATATTTCCTATGTTATTTTAATGCAATTGTCACATATGATACGTATATTTTATTATCTGAATTTGATTTCATACTATCAGATAAATGCTATAGGCAAGGGAGGATATTTTGATTTATATTTTGTGAGATTTATCACTTTATTTTTAGATATAGCACACTGTAAGAGATTCTATTGTCAACTTACCTAGTTAAACAGTCTTAACAATAAAAAAATATTAATCTACACTATTGTATATTGAAGGTATTCATTCGTTGCTGAGATAGTTTTTGAAACAATTGAAATTGAAACAAACAATAATCCAAATTTGTTAAGATTAACGTTTTTATATAAATGAGAAGTATAGCTGGGTATTCCGCCTTTTACTTAACTGGATATCATTGTGCAAACACGGATCTACATCTGAGTAGCAAATATCTGTACTTTTTAAGCCTTTTTTCAAACGAATTGACTCCTACTAACGATGCTAATATACATCGTAAAACGATCAAAAAGATTATGTCAGCACTTTTTCCCAATACAATGTTATTTTGTATTAATATATTTTTATCAATAAAACACTCTTTACATAGAACAAAGATACCATTATCATTTATATTACAGGTGTGAAATAAATATATTCGTAAAGGTTTTATAACAAATACATATAACTTATCATCCGTCATAGATTAATCATTTCATTTAAATCCTGTGTAAATGGTTGCTTATAAATGACATCTTTATCCTAATAATATAAAATAATTTTGAAATTTGCGTAAGAAAAAAAAAATGTATATATGTATACGCTTAAAAAATGCTTGTGTATAGTCTTTTTGAAAGTTGTGATAACTATTTCAAGACACTATTTAAACAAGATTTTAAACTCTCTTTTTCAGATACACACATGCCGAAGAAGATTGTAATATCTGGAGATAACATTTCCTACGTCACGAAATAGACACCGTCACACTGGTCTACGTAACATTCCTATAGATGATTGATATACATGTATTTAAGTGCTTTTAAGAACTGTGTTTGAGTGACGAATTTCTGTGAATACGGATTTTTAGTTTTAATGATTATTATTAAAACTTTCTGTAATAATCAATTTGTGCTATGGACTCATTTTCCTAAAATAATATGTGAATGTTAACACGAACAAATGATATGAATATCTTTAAAATGTTTTATAGGTGTAATACAAGTGGCTCATAAAAATCATTGAATAGAAAAGAACTTCAAGTTGGTATAGTTGTTTCTAGATTTAAACAACATGCAATTCATAAAGGTTACGGCTTGCAAATATCGAAAACTGTACATGTATAATTCGATCTCTAAAGAAAATATCGCAGTGCGGTTTTTCTCCACCGTGATACGTATTTCATGACTCTGTATCGCAACATAACGGTATATCGCCGTTCCGTTGCAACGCTACATTAATTTGTCCCTCTGGAATAAGGCTTGCAATATATGACTGTTGTAGCGAAGACATGTTTATTTTGTTACATATATGTATACATATTGAATATATGTTTATGAAATAATAAATATTTAAGAGTGACTCGATTTGGTTTTTACTTTATCATTTGAAATACTCCAATTGTGAAGATAAAGTTCTTAAGCATATGACTTTACAGTTCCCATTCAAAATGTGTAATAAAACATGTTCTATTGTACAAGTCTGCATTTCGGTAATGCATACGTGTCACTTATATGTAAATGCATGCTTTTGATATTATCTGTATCTTCTTTTATCAAGAAAATATAGTTCTGTATTCCCTGTGGACAACTAAAAAATGCAATTCCGTATAACCCCTGTATATATTGAAAATACGATTCCGTATATCCCCTGTATATATAGAAAATACGATTCCGTATATCGTCTGTATATGTAGAAAATACGATTCCGTATATCATCTGTATATGTGGAAAATACGAGTCCGTATATCCTATGTATATGTAGAATATACGGTTCCGTATATCCTCTGTATACGTAGGAAATACGGGTCTGTATATCCTCTGTATATGTAGAAAATACGGTCCCGTATATGCTTGGTATATTTATAGTATACTAAAGATAACAACCTTGATATAGTTCGTATACGGGATTAAATTCTCCGTATACTTCAGAAGTACAAACAAATATACGTACATGTATATGGGGCAAATACGGAATTCCGTATATGCCTGATGCATATACGGACTTCCCGTATACCCGGTGTTCCCTATACGGACTCGTATACTTGGTCCGTATATTCGACGAATACATCCCGTACACGCCGTATATGTCAAAAATACGGGACCGTATATTCCCGTATATCAGTATATTTTTCGCAGTGTTTAGTGTCAAGAACCATAGCAAAGACTTCAAGAAGTGTTTTTAGCAAGGTTTTCCATGTTGTGCCTTAGTTATGATATGTTACAGTTTGGAAAGTTAATTTATTACAATAGAAATACATTTAGGTATTTGTTTCAACCTATGTTTAAAAGAGTAAGGACCTATGCTACAATAAACATAATGTAGATTGTATGTAACAATATTTTTTTTTAAAGTTCAGTAACCATAAATTACACATTTATTTTTTCCAAGAATAAACAGACAAAAACAAAATACATTATGATTTATATTAAACAAATGTATACTAATTCTATCATGTTTTATGCCCCCACAAAGTGGGGAGCATATAGCGTTGCACTTGTCCGTCCGTACGTCCGTCCGTCCGTCCGTACGTCTGTCCGTACGTGCCGAAATCTTGTGAACGCAACTCCTCTTAAACTGGATGGCAGAGTCTGCTTAAACTTCCAGGGATGAACAACATTAATGTGTAGATGGTAGTAAAGGAAGGATTTTTTGCTGCGACTAAATTCAACAGAATTATGGCCCTTTGTTGATTTTTTCACTATATACTGTAACTGCCAGAAGATATAAAGTTTTGCATACGGATGAACATCATGGTTTTCTCTCTGAAAAAAAAACGGATTTGTTTATCGTTCTAGCGTTGAGCATTATATTTTATGCAGTGTACGGTTTTGAAAAACTACGAGATATTTTAGTGTCAAGAACCGTAGCAAAGACTTCAAGAAGTGTACAGGAAATCTTTTCAGCAAGGTTTTCCATATGGTTCCTTAGCTATGATATGTTACGGTTTGGAAAGTTAATTTATTACAAAAGCAATACATTAAGGTATTTATTTTAACTTATGTTAAAAAGAGTAAAGACCTATGCTACAATTAACATAATATAGATTGTATGTGACAATAATGTTTTTAAACGTTCAGTAACCAAAGATTGATTATCCATTTATTTTTCCGAAAATAAGCAGACAAAACAAAATACATTATGATTTATATTAAACAAATGTGTACTTATTCTACCAAAATCTTTGTAATAGTTTTTTTCTTATTAACATTTCAATAGGAACTTTTTATGTCATATATTTTTAAAAATTAGCAAATCTAAGATGTCAATGATTAACTCTGTATGTCAAAAAAGTAACTAAAATAATATTATGCATTACATATTTTCCTATCACATTTGGGAAAAATATAAATCCATTTTAAATGTTTATATTTTATGAATGACTTTAACATAATGAATTTTTACCAAAGAATAATACTTATTATTACAGCATTCTCATTTCTTTCATTCTTTATTAAAATGTTCCCAATACACTCATCTTTTGTAACTTGTTTTAATAACACAATGTACAGATTAATAAATTGATAACAAAAATCTTCAGAAACAACAACAAGTAATGATCCTGTATATATTACCATCCCGCATCTTTACAACAAAGGAAATAAATAACCAGTGATACATGCGTAAGCCAACATTAACCTCACAATCTTCCAATATCTTAAAGAAACAACGACAAACAATTGATTTGTATATTCATAACCCACATATTTCTTCACAAGGAAAAGGGAGGATAAAAGGAAATGAAAAATATGTCCACATTTACATTATATATACATTATATTTTTAGAGTTAAAACAAATAAAGGAAAAAATCCAAACAAAAAAGAAGTTCAACGAAAAACCGCTATTACATGAAAGAAACAACTGTCAAAGAAGGAAATCTTACCTAAAAGGCTAAGCAAAAAAAATCAAAAAAGCATGCAAACAAATCCTTGTTGATGAAATTCGCTAGGTAATTGTGGAGCAAGAGTTTAAATAATATATATTTTTTTACATTTATATCCTATAAACAGAATACCACCTGTTATATGTCTATTTAAACAAATACTGGAGTTTCCAATTTTGATGTCTGGATAATATCATAAGTTCAGAATTGTTTAGTTTTACTTTGTTTTAAACTCACAAAAAGTGCATAATAACTATAAAAAACGTCAATCCGAAAAGGATTGGTGTCTTAATGTATTTTTGTCTTAATTAAATATGGTCAGAATTTATACATTTGTTTTTTGAAAGGATAAGGTTCCCTCATCCAATTGACAACCACACCCTTTTTTCAATTGTAAAAAAATTGATGCAATTAATTTCCCCATAATTTCTCATATGACCTAAATTAGGATCTTACGTTTCTAAACTATATTTGATGAATTTCTAATAATTGATTTCCCTATATATTAATGCGTAATTATATATGACTGCCAAATTTTATAAAAGTACTGCCTTAGCTGCAAAATATACTTGATGTAGTATTTTTGCACTAGATGCTTTTTCACGGTATAGTGGTTGAATTTTCAAATTTGATGAAGGTTAGAATTATTGAAGACGACACTCAGAGTGTTTCTCTTTGACTCGATCTTCTTTACATAATTATATAACATGTGACACTTTCGAGTCTACACTGAAGAAATTTATTGTCCCTTTCAAAAACACTCCAATTTATACCCAACTTATTCTGCAAAGTCATACTAATATAAACTCACTGCGGCACGTAATGATTAAATATGGTAGGCCTTTGCAATTGATCTGAGAGTGATTATAAAATTTCCTTGTCAACATTAACATCCTGGACAAATTATTTAAGTGGGAGACGGAAAGTTAAATCTGTATAATATATAATACGAATTTCAAGTGTATAATCATACATGTATAACCTTTTAAATGATTATTGGACAAGTACTATCATCGCAATTACGTGCAAAATATTAGTTTTGTGAAATGTCAAATATATAAGAATATAAGACTTCGTTGATTACGGAAACTATGATATTATGATATTTTGTAGGTATAAAGAAGCAATGGCTAATATGTTTAGAATATTTACAAGGAGCATACTTTTGCCTGTCACACTGTTTTACGTTCAAGTCTAAGGTGTATTTAAACGCATTTGTTTCCTTCCTTTGTGACATTCCGAGATTTGTTTACTTGCCAACTACAATGCACGTTGTCCAAAACCGCAATCATGTTTTTGCTGCATAGTCAACGTGTAATACCTTTAAATATTTTAAAGATAAAAGTCGTTAAATTAATACTCCCAGATAGAATTTAAATTTGTATATACTAAGTGATATCAGTCAGTAAGGTGAAGTGCATTTCCTTTTAATTATAAGTACTTCATAATAATCAGACATAAGTGTTTAAAGCTCTACTGCAATGAAATGCAAACTTACTTAAAATTTGATAGCTTATGAGTCGTATAATAAAAGCAATGACGGTAAAACTTGGTCTATTTTGTAAATCAAAAAGAATATTTCTTACCAGTAATTCTAACGCGACCCGCATATTTTCTCGATTGGATATAGAAGTACCGAAAGTTAGTGTTATTATGCAATAAAATCATTGTTGACGTTCTATATTAAAAGATGCGACTTAATCATTATACATGTGACGTAACCATAGACATATTCGACGCGCTGAAAAAAGTACGGAAAGAAATCCGGCGCAATTTTGCTTAATATTAGGTATGGCAGTATATATTTGTTGATGTCGTGATGGAATCGAAATAATATATCCAAATCGGTGATTTTATCGCTTGATAACATCCCTGTTTCTCGTTCGTATGTACATCACTATATCGCTCAGGCAACGCCCTCGTGATATAATTCCTCGCATCCGATCTCCAAACAGTGATGTTACTCAGGCTACGTCCTCGTGATATAAATTCTTCGCATCCGATCTCCAAACAGTGATGTTACTCAGGCTACGGCCTCGTGATATAATTCCTCGCATCCGATCTCCAAACAGTGATATTATTCAGGCTACGCCCTCGTGATATAACTCCTCGCATCCGATCTCTAAACAGTGATGTTACTCAGGCTACGGCCTCGTGATATAACTCCTCGCATCCGATCTCTAAACAGTGATGTTACTCAGGCTACGGCCTCGTGATATACCTCCTCGCATCCGATCTCTAAACAGTGATGTTACTCAGGCTACAGCCTCGTGATATAACTCCTCGCATCCGATCTCCAAACAGTGATATTACTCAGGCTACGGCCTCGTGATATAACTCCTCGCATCCGATCTCC